TGGTGTGCTTTAGAATATACTAGACCTCGACTTAATAGATAGTTTGTGTAGGTACGTGACACTGTCATATTATGTTATATAATTTGAATAAACATTGAAGGATTGGCTTTTCTTTCTGATTGGTGTTGATTGTGTTTCCTAGTAATGTTAGGTTTGCCTTTTTCCAGTTATTAACCTTTAGAAACACTGCTGAAATACAGTGTAGGGGTTCATGATTTTACGTATGGGGACGTAAAATCTTCTTAAGGGAGGACAGCTTTTTAATGGTAGAAATCATCTGCACATTCATTTTTGGTGTGCTTGAAAAGTAATAAATTGTGTTAATACCTATCCAAGTGTGACAAATTTGCTAGTTCATGTTTTTTTTTGTTACTGTTGTCTAAGCAAAGTTATTTTTCACATCTCAGTAATGTGTGGGTCCATAAATTTAGATTGAAGAAGTTCTACTGGTAAATTACAATTATTTTCGAAGTTCCTTTTCTTATATTGGATTGGTAATGAAAAAATTAGTTTGAAAACACGCATCCTGACAAAAAAACACAACTCAGAATCTAAACACATTAATCTTCTACCTTTGCATATGCAAGCCATGTCTCAAGAAGTAGAAGTAAATAAAGATTGTGTTCAGCAGAATGTATCTGTACGTTCATGACTTTGTTATGTCCAGAGTATGACCAGCTGTGACTCAAACAAGACAAAATTGAGTAGAGAAATTAATTAAAGCTCAAAAGAAATGAGTCACACCAGAGATTTGGTGAATTTGTGAATAATACGAAACTCCTGCTTGTCCTTCAGACGGGGAGCTGGCAAGCACTGCTTTGCGTGTGGTATTGCTGCAGGTGATGCCTTAGTCACTACTGTGGACATTCCTGCAGCGTTGCCTGCTGAGTCAGGAAGCCTCCAAACAAAGTTTCTAAAGAAGATGAAGGGAGGGCACGTTTTAGCCAGTTAGACATGGTGAAGGAACACCACCCTTGCCATGAATATTCCTCCCCTTGTTTAGCCCGTGGCTTAAATGGAAACACGATAAGAAGCAGGGGGCCAGTTCTGTTCTGCAGGGAGGGCCTGCGTCTATTCGGTGCATGGAGTAGACTTTCTGACTTTTTATTGTTTTTGAATGAGTGTCGCTTTTACTTTATCTGGCTGGCTTGCTCCAGAATTCTTTCTTGTTTGAAGTCAAGGACCCACTTGGACTTCAAGTGGCTGTCAGCATTGGGAGTCACTTTCCTATGTCATCCTTAGGCAGAGATACTGCACGATAACTCTAAAGGAGGAATAAACTTAAAGGGACACCCTCTAACTTGACAAAAAGTATTGGATTGTGGGGATAAAGGCTCACACTGAGAGTATCCATCTCTGTAGTATTCCAGGCATTTCCTGAACATAAGACCTCAGTCTTGGGAATGTCTTTGTATCTCATTCCTACTTTGTGTCCCTAGAATGCTCTTGCCAGTCATCTTCTCAGGTGTATTTAAATGAATATACATTATACTGTGAAAATGATAACGACCCAGACAGACACCGAGGATGTTTTTAACACAGGCGAGGAGAAATTTTTAATGGTACAGACAGGGAAAAAGCAAGGAACTCAGAAGTTACACTTGAAATGAAAGAACACCAAGAGTTTTATATGGAAGTGAGAAAAAATACGACCCTAACCACCAGTAATTGGAAATTAGACCTTTAGAAATGGCCTCAGTCTAGTGATCCAAAAACCTTTTGAATTTGTCGCTTACCTGAGAAATGAAAAAATGAAGCATATGCTTGAAACAAAAAGGCACAGTATTTCTGCTGTTACAGACACTTACGAATGAAAAGAAAACCAATATATACACACAGGAGTGTTCCTGAAGGCATTATTTCATAGGAGCAATGCTAGTCATTATAAAATCATGGAAGGTGCATTAGAAAATACAAGTCCTTCTTCACCACGTAGTTACAGAACATTCTGAAATTAAAAAAAAATGAAAGAGAAAAATATACTAAAATAAGAAGTACAGCAAAGTATACAAAGGTTTTAAAATGGGGTAGGCATGATACAGGTAGAGTTCCGGGCTTTTGAGAAAGGAAAAGTTCAAGTTGAAAAAGAGGTAGAAGGAGATACGTTCGTCAGCTTACTCCTTTCTGCCCGTGGACGCTGCCGAGGAAGCATCGTTAAACTCTCTCTTCCCACTGCCGTCATGTCTGAGTCAGAGTCTCCTGAAGAACCCGAACAGCTGCGGAAGCTATTCATCGGAGGGTTGAGCTTTGAAACGACCGATGAGAGTCTGAGGAGCCATTTTCAGCAATGGGGAACGCTCACGGACTGTGTGGTAATGAGAGATCCAAACACCAAGCACTCCAGGGGCTTTGGGTTTGTCACATATGCCACTGTGGAGGAGGTGGATGCAGCAATGAATGCATGGCCACACGAGGTGGATGGAAGAGTTGTGGAACCAAAGAGAGCTGTCTCCAGAGAAGATTCTCAAAGACCAGGTGCCCACTTAACTGTGAAAAAGATCTTTGTTGGTGGCATTAAAGAAGATACTGAAGAACGTTACCTAAGAGACTATTTTGAACTGTATGGGAAAATCGAAGTGATTGAAATCATGACTGACAGAGGCAGTGGCAAGAAGAGGGGCTTCGCTTTTGTAACCTTTGATGACCATGATTCTGTGGATAAGATTGTCATTCAGAAATACCATACTGTGAATGGCCGCAACTGTGAAGTAAGGAAAGCCCTGTCAAAGCAAGAGATGGCTAGTGCTTCTTCCAGCCAAAGAGGTCGAAGTGGTTCTGGAAACTTTGGTGGCGGTCGTGGAGGTGGTTTTGGTGGGAATGACAGCTTTGGCCGTGGAGGAAACTTCAGTGGTCGAGGTGGCTTTGGTGGCAGCCGTGGTGGTGGTGGATGTGGTGGCAGTGGGGATGGGTGCAGTGGATTTGGTAATGATGGAAGCAAGTTTGGAGGTGGTGGAAGCTACAATGATTTTGACAATTACAACAATCAGTCTTCCAATTTGGACCCATAAAGGGAGCAAATTTTGGAGGCAGAAGCTCTGGCCCCTGTGGTGGTGGAGGCCAATACTTTGCCAAACCACGAAACCAAGGTGGCTATGGTGGTTCCAGTAGCAGCAGTAGCTATGGCAGTGGCCCAAGGTTTTTATTACTCCCAGGAAACAAAGCTTAGCAGGAGAGGAGAGCCAGAGGAGTGACGGGGAAGCTACAAGTTACAACAGATCTGTGAACTCAGCCAAGCACAGTGGCGGCAGGGCCTGGCTGCTACGAAGAAGACATGTTTTAGACAATACTCATGTGTATGGGCAAAAAACTCGAGGACTGTATTTGTGACTAATTGTATAACAGGTTATTTTAGCTTATGTTCTGTGGAAAGTGTAAAGCATTCCAACAAAGGGTTTTAATGTAGATTTTTTTTTTTTTTTTGCATCCATGCTGTTGATTGCTAAATGTTAGTCTGAACATGACGCTGAATAAATGTCTCTCTTTTTTTTTTAATGTGCTGTGTAAAGTTAGTCTACTCTGAAGCCATTTTGGTAAACTTCTCCAAAAGTGTCAAGATAGACTTCCTTCAGGGTGATGCCAGGTTCTATTTGAAATTCATTTACGACCTGCTTGGGTGGAGAAGCCATTGTCTTCAGAAACCTTGGTGTAGTTGAACTGACGGTTACTGTTGTCACCTGAAGTTCACCATTAAAAGGGTTCATCCAAGGAAAATCACGGAATTATTGGTTATAAAGATGATTGTTGGCATATCCTATGCAATATATCTAAATTGAATAATGGTACCAGATAACATTATAGATGGGAATGAAGCTTGTGTATCAGCCATTATCACGTGTAATCAATAAACGATTTAATTCTCTTGAAAAAAAAGAGGTAAAAGGTTCACTTGTCACTGTTCTGGGTTTTGCTTTATTGATTGTGTGATTTATTCTGATTTTCTACTTATGTACATTGTATTCATCACATCTGTTGACCATTTTACTCTTAACCTGGAATGACCAGAAAGCAGAGAGTGGGTTAACTGTCTTCATCATGATTTTTTTTCATCATTATATTGTGTAGAAAAGAAAATGTACAAGTAAGTACCGGGCACTTTATAGGTGTTTCAAAAGACATGTTTTGATTCTTGCCTTTCGATTAAGCCTCCTATCCTTTGTTGACATTCTTTGTGAACTCTTATTAAAGAGTTTTGTACTATAGGTACTATTTGGTTGTCTTTATTTAAACATAAGATAAAGGAATGGTTTCTTTTTCTTACTGTGGTGTCCTTTTATTCAACCATTTTTCCTATCAGTACAAATTTCATGAAAAAATATTTTT